AGTTGTTTCGTCCTGCTTTGAAACTAATCATCGGTGCACCGTCATGTCACTAACAGCAGGAATCGGACCGAAAATCCATTGAGTTTTGCTCACTGACCACTCAGTCAATGAGACCGGATCGAGTGGTCAGTAAATTCTAACCTCTGGCAATTCGTGTTATATATAGAGAGCAGCCGCTGGTCAATGTGATAGGCATTAATCTCTCCACAGATCCAGCTTGGTGGACACTAGAAGTGATGAGATCTCACTAGAAATCCAGTCACCTAATCCTCTAGCCAATTAGTAGTGAGTATCAGAAGTTGTTTGTCATTGTCATTTGAATTCGGTCTCAGTTGTTGATTTCTCAGTAGGCTTATACCGTAAAGGAAACGTCTTTGGCTGAATCACTGGTGAGGTCAGTTCTGCGTACGGTTAAAGAGTCCTAAACTATGTAGAGACCAAAATTTTCATTTCTCGCCCAGTCACTATCGACTGAATCCAAAACAAAACTATCCTAAACACTTTCATCACCAATCAGTCACTAACGGTTTCTGCTGTAATTGTAAACTAGCTTCCTTTCACACTTTCGCCAAATTAAATATCAGTTTGCTTATTGACTCACCAGATTTACTCAATAACTGGCATTTACACATTGGAACAGTGTAGCTAAAAAGAACGAATTTATAAAATATTATTTAGTATACTAATTTGAATAACTAGACTTAATGGCGTCGATCATCGATGCAGAGTTTTGTCCTTTTCTATTTTATGTCTTATAATCTTGCTATTTCACCAGTTATATCTCATTTATGGCGGGACTGGCCTAGAAGGGGTATAAGCGGATAAAGTAATTAAGTTTAGTGTAAGCTACAAAACTCCAGAATGTATCTTTTCATAGCTAATCGGTGTAGAATTCTGAAAACTATTTTCGACTGTACACAGGGGAATCTTCAGCATCAGGATTTGTGTCAGCACTGTCAAATTAGTAAATGAATATTAATATAGTAGGATATATGGAATTTACTAGATTTTCTTGTATGGTTAGCCATTTATTGCTTTCTTCTTCACTAGCACTCCATTGTCATACAAGGATGAAGTGAATGGCAGATCCCTGTTGGGATCATAAATGCATACCATTGGATAACCAGTTTCAACCTAGAACGAAACAGAATGTCTATAATTATTGCTAATTCAAATCGTATTGCTTGTTGATTTAAATACAGAGCTAAGAGATTTTGAAATTCCATTGGCTGTGATGTTGGGGTGAGGTTCCTAACCTCATGATGAACTTACTCCCTTTTCCAGGTTAATCACCAGCTAGTCGACATTATTTCAGGTTAACTAGGAGTACATCGGCTGTGTATCGATTCCAAGCCTCCAGCGTGGCGGCGGGATAGCATTCTTTCATTCTACAATTATTTATACAACACTAAACTTTTTGCAGTTCTTTTGTTGTTAACACTAGCGTTCAATGCCTAGAACTGCATGTAAGCTGATTTTACGTGGATGGATTCACTTACCCATAGTTTTGTATCACTGTTCAATGAATCGACGCGTATATATTCATGTATTTTTGCTGGAAATAATTTGATAATGTTAATTATAAAGTAACTCTTGATATCCTTTTGCTGATAGTATGGCTCCACAATAATTTCTCTTCATCCTAATGACTACCTTCTTTTAATTACTATTAATAATAAGAGCCGTATGATGACGACTGAGATGGAGACAAGGGTCAGCAACTAAAAACCAATGAGTTTTAATCTCTGTGATACACAGGTTTATCCTTTTTGAATATAAATCTATCTGCCAATCGATAATAGAAAGCATATTGTTCAGATTTATCGGTACTATTCAAAACAAGTCAGTCGGCCTCAGGAGGAAGAATAGACGCCAACCATGAGAGTATTCAAGGTTCTATTCTCAGCCGATAAGCTCCTCAACCTTGCCTAGCAGGTAGTACACTCGTAAAATAGGGAAATTTGAGTGTGAGGCTAACAACCTTACCATATGAGTTAAAACACAAACGTTACTGAAACATGGAATCTTGAAGCCTAAAGTCCCAATGGTGACTCAAATGAATGCTATGGATTCAAAAGACAGAAAATGGAAACGAAATTCGATAAGTACTCCTAGTACTAAAGATCAATCATTTACTAGAACATCCAGCCTATTGTGAGTTTTTGAAAAGCATACTGGCAAAAAATGACTAGAGATGATACTTACTGATTGCAGCGCTCGACTCTGAGACTAGAGGTACTAGAGGCTTCGAGTCCCAGTTTGTACGATCAGCGCTCACACAATGTCTGATTCATGAAAAATTTGTTCCATATAGTTAAACTGAAATGATGAACTAATTAGGCAGTATAGGTAATACAATCAAATTGCTGTTTTTAGCAAACAGCGCCACTTTGCTGTCTGTTGATATATGAACAAGTGCAACTTGTTTATATGGCTTCCTAATTTTGTTGTCTTTAGAAAAAGTTTTAAATAATTTCTGTCTTACCCTCTTCATCAAAACGATGGTACATTTTTATACAGTAATGAAATTCCAAACTAGTAGGAAACAACTGCCCAGTACTCTCTGACTGACGTCCAGTTTTTTATGATCTACACTGAAATCAATCATACCCTTTGAAAAAACACTTAGGAAACTATTTTTCCTGACAATACATTCAATATTCTTTGGCAAAAAAGTTAACACGTGACTTTTGTATGATCAGTCCTCAATTTAGTTCATTGATATTTGTTTACTCACCAAATTCTACTGACACCGTTTTCTACTATTATCATTAGCATTAAACGGTTGTTTCCGAATGTACACTGCTACGCACATGACATTTCTTTACATAATTATATTTCTCTCATACCATTGAATATAACTCACCATCGCCTAACGGAAATTATATTCTGTTTCAAGTTCTACTACGGGTTGATATCAAGTAGAAAACCATTGAAAACCAACAAGGAGTACTGGTCAGCTGTTCCACTCTGGTGTGGGACTCATCGCCAGTACGCACCCCCTCGGGTTCGAACCCAGGTCCTTCCGGTTACAAGGCAAGGTCGTAGTACATTCAGATACTGGGACTTGACTTAATGACTTTAGCGCAGCAACCAGCCAATGTCATCGTCGAGTACTTGGCTTCATTCTCGACCAGGTGGACTTCATTGATCACGACTTATCACTAGGACTCCAGACAACGTCGCCATGTAACGAGTCACTAGAGAGCATCGGGTTGTTTGGTGATCGCGCTAACAAATCACGAATTGATAGAAGTTAGAATTCATAGGTCACCACAGTGGCTGGATGATCTATAAGCTTGCCTGGTAACCAGAGGGTATTGGATTCAAACTGCAGTGGGCGTGTACAACCAATGAGTCAGAAACTAGAACAAAGTAGCACCTCAGTACTCACTGGTGGTTTCTAGTAGCTGTCTAACTGATATAGATTCGCGGTCAAATTTGAAAAAAATGAAATCCCTATAGACTAACTTTTGGAAATTTTAGTCTATTTACCGTAAATACATCAGTATGCCATTCAATTATCTACTTATATTTTACCTTGTTTCGACTGACTGCACATTTCATATACGTTCAGTTGACAACATCAACAAACGGACTATTGTTCCATCTGACACATGTATCCCGATACCATTTCTGATGAAGTTTTCGTTTGCCTTTACTGGCTATTTGTGTATTCTAATATTCATGGGGATTTATGACAGTAGAGCCTGAGGAGGAAGTTGTCGAAAACAGTTATTCCCGTATATGTGTTGACAAAAACTTAAGTTTTTTACGAGTTTGACCACGGATTGATATCAGTTATAGAACTATTGAAAACCAACATAAGGTACTGGACAGCTGTTTCATCCTCATTTAGGAATCATCGATAGTAGGATGAAACAGCTGTCTAGTACTCCATTTTGGTTTTCAATGGTTCTCTTACTGATATCAATCCTTGGTCAAACTCTTGAAAACAAATCTAATCCTTACAAATCCACTCTTGAAAAAACTTAAGTTTATTAATATTATAACTCTTTTGCGAATAATTCTACAAACACTGATAGTTTTAATGAATAAATATTAAATAGACTTTAGAATTCTGTATTGTCATGTTGATAGTATAACTAACTGTAAAATTAGTTTCATTGAGAGCCGGTATCATAAAGAGGAATACTGAAATCTCAGGAGCGTTAGATAGTCATACATTTCAGCCACACTACTTTGTTAGTATTTTTAATATATTTATGCACTGAAGTTTCTGTAGCAATTTGGTTAAGTTTTCGGGGTGGAGTTGCTAGCACCATGCTCCAATCCTCCCTCTTTATCCGGGCTTGCGAGCTAGTAATCTAGACGAGGTTATAGTGTGGCTGAAGTTCCAGCTGTCTTCGCTCTATACTGAAGATCAGATGGCCAGAAAGAATCACCAACAAGAAACTATGGGAACAAACAAAACAAGAACCAATCGCTCAACAAATATGCAGGAGAAAGTGGAGATGGATTGGACACTCGCTGAGGAGGCCGCTGGGTGAGATCGCGCGTCAGGCCATTTCTCGAGTGGAACCCGAAAGGGAAGTGGCGAGTGGGACGTCCAAGGGTGACATGGAGGAGATCGTGTGAAGAGGAGTTGAAACAGTATGGACTAACATGGATGCAGGTGAAAAGTACAGCAGAAAACAGAAGCCCTATGTTCGACTAGGAACCCAAGGGAACAATAACAACAACTTTGTTAGTAGGATGTCCTTATCGCAATTTAATTGGTCCTTATTAACTCTTCGCTTACAGTTTATGACAGAACTGGATAAATAGGACTGAAACCGATTTGCCTAACCACTAATTGAAGAATAATTTTCAAAATTAACTTTGATATGTTACATAATACTACTACTTGGATTTTTATTATTCTCACAAAAAGTGAAAGTTATTTACAGGATCAATAAAGAAGTAAAATCTTTATAAAGAAAAGCCTTTCATCCTGATGAGTAAACTTCAATGTTTTTTCTTTCTAAAACCAATTTTAGATATCACAGATTCGAGTAAAAAGACGGTGGTCAACTCTGCCAACAGTCTGAGCAACAATATCAGAGTTACTCCGATTAGTCCCAGTATTACCCCTACTCCTCCTCCTCCTGCAGCTGCTGCTGCTAATGCCGCTTCTGCTAGTAGTGGTACTACGAATACTACTATTTCTACTGCTGCTACTACTACTACTACTAATGCGCCTATCTTCCCGTCAAGTACTTCTAGTGGTTACACTAAAAGTTATCGACCAAGTCCACCTTTAAATGATACGAATACAGTGAATCTCAGGAGAAAAGTAAGTGATTGCTGCACTTTATTATTGTTGTTATTATTATGTACAAGGAAACATATAAAAACAGTCTTATCGGGCGAAACGTGACAGTCTAAGTCAGTTCAGTTCTTTTTCTATTCCAGGAATGGATCTTGCATTGCACCTAATCTTCCGTTTATACATTGATATCACATATTATTGTTACATTATGGATTTTCAGTTATATTCTGAGTGCAAAATAGGTCTTCACTAGCACATCTCTATTCCATCCCGTTTATGTAATCCTACTTAACTGCCTCCATTAGTTATCTCTTCCATATTACTCTTGGACCACACCCAACTTCTCACTTCTCATTCAGTTTTTACTCGAATGATGGCCTAAAGTGCTACGTCACTCTACGATCCTTTCAGAGTGTGTCCAACCCATTTCCATTTTCAGGATTTCATCATGAACTGACGTCAGTTATAGGATCATTGGAAAAGCTGTGAGCACTGAACAGCTGCTTCATCCTTGTTTGGGATTCTTCACAGTACGCACCCGAGACCTTCCGGTTACAAGGCAAGTTCGTAGACCATTAAGCCACTGGGACTTGTTCCAGTGGTCAGTAAATGAATTGCAAATTCTGCCAACTCATGATATGGTGTGACCATCGGAGAAACCACGATGAAACAGTTGTCCAGTACTGCCAGGTTTTCCAATGATCCTCTAACCGATATCAGTCCATGATGAAGACCTGAAACCAATCAAATCTGTGCAAACCAAAACTTGAATGCCGTTTCCATTTTCTCTGACATTTTTGTTGGGCAATAGCCTCTTGGTTGGTTCGTTGCACTGCTGATTTCCTTACTGGTGTTGAAAATCCAAACCTTGTTCTTTATGCTGATTACAGTGTATTGAAAGTCTTTTTCGCCTGCCTTTGACACTCTTATTCCAACTGCCTGTAGCAGAAAAAATGCTGTCCAAATAAGTGAAAGAGGTCACTATACACAAATTTAACCCGTTGATAGTGATTGGTGCTTATTGTTGTCAGTTAGTTGTTGGATATCTTCGTCGCCTCTGTCTTCTCTATGTTCACCTGAATATATGTGTCTTCGCTGCATCCAGTATTGTATGTGTAAACGTCTGATGAATGAATTCCATGTGTGTGTGTGCGTGTTGTGTCAGTGTGTGTTTCCACGCTACACAAATCCACATTCACAGTTGTAAACAAACGTCTGCATTAAATTATATGCAGGGTAACCGTAAATATGCTATATATATATATATATATATATAATATATCATGTATAAATAGCCATACCATGAGAACTGAATCTGTTCACAGAATAAAGATAACTGAATTCATTATTTTTTTTAAAGCAGTTTTGTGTATTAGAAGTTTTTCATAAGTTTTATTTTTTTATTATTTCTACTATTATCAGTAACTATAATCAAATATTTACTCTGTATAGGGATTATATTATATAATCCAGATAAAATATGACAGTAAACTTCATGGCGAATATTAGTGACCAATAATAAACTACATAATCTAAATATTAACCTACCTATAAATAATTATAGGTAGATTGTCTGAAGCTTCAGTGAGAAGAGTACTGTCCCGTGGGATTCTACACAAAAATCTGTATAAAAAAAGGCAGTAAACGCGCTTACTTTGTTGCTCAATGAATGTCCTGAGGTATTTGTTTTTTTGTTGCTAAAGAGTTTAAAACAAGGACGAAACAGATTTATTATCACGAGTCAATATGAGTTAGGAAGATCACTGAAAACTAAGGGGTCCTGGACATCTCTTTCTTCCTAGTTTGGGACCTTTAGGCGATGCACACACATGACTCTTATTGCAGGGATCGAACCCTGAACCCATAGGTTATGAGATCAAGCTTGTTGACCATTCAGTCACTTCAGTGGGAATCTAATGAAGCATGAATTTGTCATTTCCTTATGTAGCTCTACGCTGAACAAATGACTTCGATTAGTATCCACTAATGTATTGGGCAGACACTGAGGAGGCCGTCGAATGACATCGCACGCAATGCAAGCCATCACTCCAATGGAATCCAAATGGGAAATAACGAATGGGTCATCCAAAGTTGAAATGGTGGAGATCGTGTCAGTTGGAGTTGGAGGAAGAGGAGATGAAAGATTATGGTCAATCATGGATCCAACTGAAGAGGACAGCAGCAAACAGAAGAAAGTAGGGATGTGCTGTTGAATCCCTATGTTCCATTCGGAACCTGAAGGAATAATAAATAAACAGTATCCACTTTACCTTGACCTGGTGGACCCTACTGCTCACGACTTCTAAGTACAGCTTCGTAATAGCTATCCAGCATCCTTCAATTAACTGGAGATTCATATCGTATATTATGAGACAAAACGGCTTTAGACTACTCCCTGTCTTCGATAATAGCTACCTACTGCTTGTTCAGGTTGAAATGTACACTCAAAATAAGTAATTTGTTTCTGTGACATATGTATACATTTGTGAGATACCAGCATAAACTGTTTATGAGTTTGCGATGGAGCTATTCTCTAATTCATTAAGACACTACTGGTCTCTAAAGCATACTAAACACTTGATTTCAATGAAGCATCCGATCGTAATAAAAGTAAAGCTATGGTAATATCCTGTAATATATAATTATTCCGCTTATATTCAATAATATGTAAAAGAGAAAATGAGAATAAAATTCGTTTCTTACTCAATTCTTCTTCCTTACACTAGCTAACTTCACTCTGTTTCTTCCAGAAAGCAACTCGACATCTAAGTAAATTTAAATTTTCACACAGATGTCCAATAAACATCAATGGTACTCTGGCTGATGTCAGCTCATGATGAACGCGGTTACTCAAAATTGAAGTGCCAGAAGTGTGTTGCCTTGTAGGTGTCTGATTGATTTCAAGTTTTGTCATGAAATGATTTCAGTTAGAGAACCATGGAAAACTAACAGGGACTACTGAACTGTTTTTCAGTCTCAGTTTGAAATCCCTCAACAGTACACGCTAAATACCTTACTAGGTATCCAACTCAGGATTTTCAGATTATGAAATGATCTCATCAACCACTCAGCAACTTGGACGAAAACAAATAACCCATGAATCTTAATTTCCGCCGACTCGTGACCACTAAATAATGTCATCGGCGACTATTGTTCCTGACACTTAATTTGATGGATCCTACCGGTCACGAATAGTCACTAGAACTTCGTAAAACGTCCTACTATAGTGAGTTACTAGTGAACATTACATTAATTTTCAAGTGCTGTTTTGTAGTACTCTTAGTAAACCCTAGTTTTATTTTTACAGTTCTATAACTGAAGTACTATTTCGTTATGAACTATGGAATGAAACTAGGCTAACACTATTTCACTGAAACAGACAAACATGTAAATCAACTCACAGAATTAAATAGATGTCAGAAACAGTTTTAAGCAGGTTTAAAATGAATGTCTCATTTTAGACTCATCAAGGTGACGAAATAAGAAATCACAGTCCTGTACAGTGAGTAGTACAGTTAAAGTTAAATTTCAATTTTTACACCAAAATAGGTTTTAGAAGGTCATCTGACAGTTTGTGCATTCCACTATAAACAAATTTTAATCGTTTATCCATTGATTACCAGCATTATTATTCCCTTGGGTTCCGAGTGGAACAAATAGCTTCAACAACACATCTACACTTTGCTCTATTTTCTGCTGTCCTCTTCACCTGGCCCCACAATTGTCTATAATCTCTTATCTCCTCCTCTTCCTCCTCCTAGTACGTTCTCTTCCATGTCACCGACGACCTACTCGTCGCCATTTCCCATTGGGACTCCACTAGATTGATGGCCTGCATTGCGTGGCATGTCATTTGATGGCCTCCTCAGTGGCGTATGTCCGATCCATCTCCATTTCCTCCTACGTATTTGTTGAGCAATTGGCTCTTGCTCAGTTGGTTTGTTGTCAGCCATAGTTTCTTGTTGCTAATTCTTTCTGGCCGACTGGCCATTTGATCTTCAGTATGGAGCCAGATAAGGGGGCAGCTGCCGATAGAAGTCTGTAACCTTTTGGAAATCTTTTTCTTGCCACTCAGTGCAAGTTTTTTGACTCACATGGAAGAACTGATTGACTGACTTCACAATTGATTTGAAAATCCAAATCTTATTGTTTGTGCTGAGACGGAGTGTAGCAGCAGATTTCCAAACTGGTTTCAGATTGACGAAGGCCTGCTTATCTTGCCTTTCCGATTCTGGCTGACTTTGACATCTTCGTCCGTTACACCTGTGGTTGAAACAATGCTTACTGCTTAGATAAGTGAAGGAAGTAACCTCTGTCAAATCTCTCCCGTCATTGGTGATGGTCGTTGTTTTTGTTGCTGCTGGTGGTGGTTGGTTGGTTATCTTCATCACCTCCGTCTCCACCTTCTCTATGTTCATCTAGAGTCCTGTCTTCGCTGCCTGCCACTTCTCCAAGTTTGTGTCTTCGAGTTTGTGTTACACTAAACATTCACTCATGAAATCCAGATCTTCTAGAGTTTTCTGATCGGTCCAGCGTACTCCTGTCTTTTCGCTCCCCACATACTGTCTTCCACATAATCTAGTCCACCACAATTAAGAATATCGTCGTGACTACAGTAGGCAGCATGTCTCATTCCTATCTCTTCTTCAAACTCCTTGCTATGTTTTTCATTGTGGATCACCTGACACGTGGCTTTGTCATACAGCCAACCGTCAAATGAAGTTGATAAAGACTTGAGCACTGCACGCCGTAGTGTAGAAGCAGTTTCTAAACTACTTCTCGGTCAACGCTGTCTGTGGAAGGTCTTCTCGAAGTTGACGAGGTTAGGGTACAGGTGTGACTGCCATTCTATGCTTTGTTCGATGACGATGCGTAGAGTTGTAATTTGATCCGCACATGATTTGCCTTTTCTGGATCCAGCTTGCTTCATGTGGTGGGGGACAGAGTTCTGCATCCAGTGAATCTTTTATTCTCTCCAGACTGACGAGACCTAGTATTTTACTTGGTGTGGACAATAGCATTATTCCGCGCTAGCTCTTACAGAGGCGTAAGTCACCCTTCTTTGGTGGCTTGACAAGGTAGCCACTCTTTCTTCCAGTCGGTAGGCACCTTTACCTCCTTCCAACCCTTTTTTGCAATAATGGCGTGAGCACATTTGCCGCAGTCTCTGGGTTTGTTTTCAGTGCTTCAGGGGAAACACTGATGACTTAACCTCCTTAAATCCAATCACTTATGACTGCCAGTGAAATTTGTGAACTCTCTTCCTATGATTGTGTTTCTGTGAATCGTAGTATTATTTTGCGGTAGTATTTTGAGGTATAGCAATTCGACTTGATTTACCATTGTACGACTTCCTATCCTCGTCAGTTTATTTCTTCTTGTTTAAATGAAGATTAAACTAAAATTTGAGGACTCTAAAACAGATATATCTACATATTTATCAAAGGGGGAAATATTTCCCGTCAAAAGACTACCATAAGTAATTATCTAGTAATTACTGACGTCCGTCAGTTGTTCAAGGGTAGAATGCTCAGCAAGCATGCAATGTGGCTATGGGTTGCCATCCTGACTTCATGATATCTCTCCCCCTTACTGTCAGGAGGTGAAATTCTCCGAATTCCTTTAAAATTTAGTAGTATATACTGACTTATACTACAATTGGAAATACTGAAAGCGTAAGTATTCAGTGCTTAGACGAGAATTTATATAAAAAGCGCAATACCATCTCAAGCCTTGTATTCTATAGGTATATTTGGATAAAATGCCTATGAAACACGAGTCGCCTGTACCCTATATGCAATTATGGACAAGCAATAATAATTACTTTTATTTATCGCTATTCATATCAGTTATCTTTTGAAATGAAAATTCATTGAAAATATCAATAATCCTATTACTAAGTTTGTTGAGTACATATTTTATTGTAATCCCTTTCTGTGTATATTCCTTCTTTTATCTGTGCCTATCCACCTACAGGAACCGCAACCACACTCGCCTACTTCTAATCTATTAAATCCTTCTTCAACAACAAGAAATATCAATGATTTTCTTCGAAAAAGATCATCCTCACCATCTAGCACTACAAATCCATCTAATCCTATAGCTAGAAGTCAAAGTTTATACGCTTATCTATCTAAGCAGAATGAAGTGAACAATAAGCCAGTTAAACCTAACACCCAATCTGTGATCAGCGCAATTCCACCTCCAAAACCACAAGACCCTCAACCAAAACTACCCCCGAAACAGTCTACTACAAATGCTAATAATATTAATTGTTATTATGCTAGAGGAGACAGCAACACACCTGATTATTCCAACATTCAACGATCAGTATGCTCATCGCTGTACGGAGCAGACAATACACTAATCTCAAATGCATCGGCAACATCCCAAGTAACTTCGACTAATGCAAAGCCTACCTCACCAAGTCTTCAAAAATCTACAAATCAGATAAAATATGACAGACCTACCACTGACAGTAATCAATCTAATGGACCTAATGTAAGCAAAACTTTGTCATAACTAGTTATCAATTTGAAAGTATCTTATAGGGCTGTTTTTCTAGTCTGAATCCATTATTGTTATTATTACTATTTAAAACAATTAGTCCCTTTTATAAATTTGGATAGCGTTATTAGAAGACGGAGATTATCTGAAAAACAACGTGATGTATTTGCGCTATACATTACGAACAATCTGATCCTACATGCATTTACTTGTCAAGTCGATATATATATGAAAAAGTTAAATTAAACGAAGTGACAAAAAAGGGATTTAAGAATGATTAAAACAACGTTTGGTAATCCAATCAAATAAGGATTACCAAGATAGGTTAAGAGTAATAATAAACTGTTTTTGAATACACAGGGGAGGGGCTTAAGTTTATGGATAGCTATAGCCTCGGCGTATTTCAATAAGCGCCCTTGACCGTTTTTATAGATGACCTTAAAGGCTGAGTTAACATCAACCTTATGGTTCATCTGGATTAGGTGTTAGCTATAGACGAAGTTGGTAGTCTGACACCTGCATCTATTGGCTTATCACAATTCATTTGTTTTTCTAACCATTTCGGTATATGCTCTCCTACCCTCACATGCAAAGCGTGATTACTGCTCCCTATGTATGTGTGACCACACACACGAAAATTGGTAAATAGTGTGGGATGTGACATAATCACTTGTGCACTTTTGAGGTTTGCAGTGGAGCATATTTTTAGCTTTTTCGACAATTACAAGCTGGGCTACACAATAGGTTCTACGGTTGATCGAATTCAACCTTTGTCTCAAATTCCTACTACTTATTTCCCCGTTATATGGTAATTTGATGAAAACATTTTTCTTAGGGGTGGTATGGATTGTAGGTTTAGAGACTAATTGACTTCTACACCTGTTTAAAAATTTTAAAGGATATCCGTTTTCAACAAGAGTATCCATCAATATTTCGTTTTCTTTGTCTATAACATCAGCCGTACAAATACGTTGAATCCTCTTAAATAGACATTTCACCAAGCCTCTCTTATACTGTAATGGACAGAAGCTGTGAAAATTAAGGTATTGCCCTGTCCAAGTGGGCTTTCTGTAGATCGACCGTCTTATTGAACCATCATCTCTTCGACTCAGAAGTATGTCTAAAAATGCAAGCTGGTTGCGACTTTCTTCCTCGCATGTACGACTTGTATGATTATGTACAGAGTTAAGTCTGTCTAATAGATGACTCGCATCTTCATGATCGTCGCATATCAAAATGATATCATCTACATATCTCCTACAGAAGGGTAATTTAGAAATTAAATCAAGGGACAAGTTCTCAACATAAGACATGTAAACGTCCGCTATTAAAGGTCCTAATGAACTCCCCAAAGCAACGCCATCCAATTGTCGAAAATGTTCACCTTCAAAAGTGAAATGGACGTTGTCAGTACATAATAGTAATAAATCTTTCAAATAAGTTAAAGGAAAAGGAAATGAAAAACAACTAGAAGATATATAGTCACAAAGAATATCAACAGTCTTAATCAATGGTACATTAGTAAAAAAAGAATTAACGTCAAATGAATACATTTTTCTATCTTTTATGTTCATATCTACAAGACATTCAACAAGTTCAAATGTATCTTTCAAAGTAAACTTACATAATTCATTGCGTACTGGACTTAAAATATCAGCTAACCATTTTGCTAATTTATGTGTAGGAGAGTTACACATTGAAAGAATTGGACGAAATGGATTATCAACCTAATGAATCTTGGGTAATCCATAGAGGTTTGGAAAGTCAGATCCCATGGGTTTCAAGGAATTAAACTCCTGTTTATCGATAACGTCCATTATTTAAAATGGCTGACCATGAGGTTTCATGAATTTACTGAAGGAAATATTACGTCTTCCTGAACTTAACACCAATCAAAGACTTACAGTAGCTTAGTTCAGGGTTACACATAAAATTTAACATATAAAAACTGTTAAATTCCTAGGAAAAAAACTTATTTCCGAGGCAAAATAACCCAACAAATAAGCATGAGGAAATAGAGATGAAGTGGATATAAGCTGGGAAAACACCAGGCCACGAGTTGCGAGGACAAAACTCGTATGGAGAAAACCACTGGAAGAGAAAACGTAAAGTTGTAGGAAGCTGTGAAGCCAGATGAAAACGGAGATATAGAAGCCAGTGTAGCGAAGATATGTTGCTGAAGCTGGTTTATTCTACTGAGGATGAACAAAACATGAATTCTTAAACACTGATTAATTTAAATAATTTATAATGAATCAATCTGACTCGGAGCTCAAATTATTCCAGGAAGTTCGTAACACCTACGGTCTGAAAACTAATATTACTATTTTGTTAGGTATTATGGTCAAGTAATCAATTTCCGCGGATTTCATCTGTTTAAATTTCGTATAAAAGAAATAACCAACCATATTCTAATCATCACAAAATTAGTACTTCATTCCGAGTTGTGGACTAATGTCTTCCCTTAAAAAAGCCGCAATACAGATACAAACTGGCTTTAGAAAAGAATGTGGTGGAGGAAAATAGGGAATTAAACATGAATTTGGAAATTCATTAGTAATTTCGTCATGAGCTGACATCAGTTAGAGAACCATTGTAAAACCACCTGGGAGCAATGGACAGCTGTTCTGCCCTGGTTCGGGACTCTTCATCAGTACGCACCCACCACGAGGGGTAGAACTCACGACCTTCTGGTTAAAAGGCGAGCTCGTAGACCATTAAGCCATTGGTGATCCAAAGGCTAGTGCATGAATTCTAACATCTGCCAATTCATGATGAAATCCTCCAACCAATCAAACAAAATCCCTACAAAACCAATACTTGAAAATTCATTAGTAATTCATTTGATGTATTTGAAATTAAGTCAAAAAATGTTTACTCTAGCATTAACGTAATCTTAGATGACTTTTAGTTGATATAAGCTAGCTATCAGACGAATCCAGGATTTGTCAGCCAGATGCACCTAGATCTCCAGTAATTAGTCCGTTCCTACTCAGACTTGAACCGAGGCAGTAGCGGCGCTACTGGTGCAGTGTGAGAAATGAGTGCCATTTTAAACAGCAAAATCATATAAGTTAATCCAAATGATAGTATTCGTGAGGATTTTGGATCAATTGCAATTACCAAATATTCGTAACTACCCAATATCAGTTAAGGAGATCATGGGAGACCAGTAGAGAGCACGGGACAGAAGTTTCATCCTGTTTTGAGACTTTTGAGCAGTGCGTACCCACCACTTCACTCCCAGGGATTGAAGCCGGAACCATCACAGGTTACGAAACCAAGCTGTCTGACCATTGGATAACTTAGGCTGGAATTTAGGGACCTATGAATTCGATATTAACAGTAAAATCTAGAAAGCATATATTGAAACTCCCGTTTTTCACGAATATTCCTGTTCTGCTTCGTTTGTCTTCATTTCAGAACTTCCATATTGCATCACAATTATCTTCATTTCTCCCGTTTATAAAATGATCCATTGTTCTGCTATTCAAGATTCTTGCAGATGATATTATACTACACACTACTTACGAGTTCTTTTCATTAGTGTTGGTCGGTCGGTAGGTTTTCGACATAGAACTTTGCACATATGTGCGGCAGTTCAAGTCGCCACACTCCATGTAGCACACAAAGCAAGAGAAGAAAGTAGGAGAAATGCATAGTATAGACAGTAAACAGAGGTGTGAGACAAAGGAATAGTAATAACGGAGAACAAAACAGTTTAATTGGAAATCATAAGTCACAAGGAGTGGATGCATCTGCGCCACTGAGAACGATTTTGAGCCATATCACCAATTGTTTCCAACCATTGGTTTTTACCGTCCCGAGGATCCCAACCAGGAAGTCTACACCTTCCTACGTGGCTTAAGCTAACTGTTGTGGGTTTCATTGACTGGTGCCATGTTTTCGTTTGACCGCCACTAGCTCTTTTCCAGCCTGGCCCTATATCAGCTAACATCGTCCGTCGAGGAAGGCGATGACTAGGCATACGTAACACATGTCCTAACCATCTCAGTCGATGTAATTTCACAGTTTCGTTGACTGATTTCCCCTCCTTACCTAGCACTCGACGCCTAACCTCAATATTGCTCACCTTATTATACCACTTCACACGGGAGATAGAACGCAGACACCTATGATCGAAGACAGCTAATCTTTTCATGTCTTCTGCTCTCAATGGCCAGGTCTCACAGCCATAAAGGAGGACGGAGCGGACTGTTGAGCAGTACACACGCCCTTTGGTCGATAGTCGGATATCGCGTCTACGCCAGAGACGGCGTAAACTGGCATATGCGAACCTAGCCCTCTGTATTCGTGCTGATATTTCGTCTGAGATCAACCCGTTGGGGCTGATGGTACTTCCCAAGTAAGTGAAGCGGTCAACGTGCTCTACCACTTCGCTTCCTATTTCTAATCTAGGGGTCAGTGAAGTCCAATCCTGCAGCATCATCTTACATTTTTCATTAGTGTACTCCAAACTGGAAATTATTTTAAATGCCAAGAACAATTAAGAGAATAGTGACTTGAGGAAATCAAACTTCTGATCCCTTGATGGGAAAGGAACACATTTGAGTGTAAATTTGTTCACAAAAGTACTGAAATATAACCCCCAACCTCACACTGTTGACCAGTCTTAAAGTAGAACAAAACAATTATCCAGTGCTCATCAATTTTCAAGGATTATCTAATGAATGCCGTTTCGTGACGAAGTTAGACAAAATTTTCAAAAATATGAATAATATAAATATCAAGCAAATATTTATTATACAGTAGAAACCTTCTGCTTTACTTAATAAAATGTCGTGAACCTAAACAGTTAGAGATATAAAGATATGAGTATAACTGTTAACGGTTAATCATAAATAGTCAGAATTTCTCCTTCAACACCTTCATGCTTTCTTATTTGCACTTCTTTTATCGATTCCCTTGCGCTCCGAGTGGAACATAGGAGTTCAAGTCAATTAGTGGATGGTGACAAACACTGGAATCCAAGGTCCACATTTTGTCCATTCGGGACTCGTCAACTGGATGTACCTGCATTCCCCAGTGAGTGGTGGTATTCCCACTGAGGCTCGAACCCAGCGCCCATAGTTTCAAACGTCAAAGTGCTATCCACTGGACCATTGAGAACCCCACCACTCGGTGTGGAATGCTGGTACATCCAGCTAACTAGACCTAAATAGAACGAAGTGCGCATCCTGGCTGGATTCCACTGCTAGTCAATATCCACCAGTTGACTTCAAATTACACTACCAGACATCATCGAAGCATCTGCACAAGGAGCCGAGATGTCAACCTGAGATCGAGCACTTCAGTCCAGTCAATCGACGGGAAAATCTGAAATTGAAATCAATCAATTATTCCGTTACATTATTTAGAGTTTTTTATTCCTCCACGTTCCCAGTGAAACACAGTGCTTCAAGCTAGAGGCTTGAAGTTTCTGTAGCAGTGGTGTTTATTTTTACAGTATGGGGCTGCTGGTCTCATGCCCAACCTTTCCTCTTTACCAGCTTTATTTCTGGCTTAGTCAGGTAAAGGAGTGCGTCGGCCGGGGATCGACCCCGGACCATGTGCATGGTCCTCGAGAATCCTAACCGGTGTGCCAACGACACACTTATTGGATTTAGATATTAGATGTATCTAGCTGGTAACTTTTAAGAAAGCTATCCAACAAATATAATCGATACAATGCTAAGACAGCCTCCATTCATTATGGCAATGAAGAAATTCCAATATAAAGTCGAAAAAATATTAGTTATATATGCATTTATCTATATATAATCTTGAATTTCATAGTGTTTTTTTGTGCGTGGGGGGGGTGGGTAAACCAATGAACAAAAATTCCACATGTTTGTACTGTTAAACGTCAATCAGTCAAGGAATAACACATCAACAGCAAAAAAAAGTGAAAAAAGTGTGTGTTGTGTGTAAGCAGTAACGATAATAATTGGCTTCATTTTGTCATATGTAATAAACTAAAGACTAAAGTTTTACAATCGATGACGTCAAATACGAAGTTATATCATTCACAGTAAGGTAGAATTGACAAGCCCAAGAATTATTTAGTTATATTCCCTCAGCAGGGCTTTCATTACCAACGTTGATAACATCCTCAGCGACTTTATTAATCGTCTCTATAGCAAGAAAAAATCAAGCCTCTTAATATCATTCCTGTCTGTACATTCTTTTTTGGTTTTTGTCTCTATAACTCCTTGATTGATTGATTGATTGATTGATTGATTGATTGATGTTTAACAGTGCAAACTCGTAACCCGACTATTAAAATTGGAATTTATGCGTGTTCATATTCATTGATAAGACGAATAGAGGCGAAAAATGAAGACTGTCTTAACATGGTATCGATTACATTTGTTTGATAATGTTTTTTTCTTAAAACTTGTCATCTGGGTACACACAGTATTTCGTAAGCTCTGAGTAGAGTAAGGAGCATCTCATATTATCCACTGTTATCTACTGTCATGCGAATAAATATCAAAGATAAGCATCGACCGATTCATCAGTCGACCATGCAAACAAATGACTTAACAGGAATCATTTCATTATAATATCAAGCTCACTAACCAGTTTATATATCATCATGATACAGCCTGAATTTTTGTTATTAGGTATTTAGTGGCTGATAGAATTCAGTCTTTATCAAGCAAAGGATCCTATACAATCCTACAAGAGGTCGACTACGAACCCGAAGAATCCAGTGACAATCTCTGTGATTGCAGCACTGGATGACCTGAACTCGGATCTCAGAAGGGACATGCGTTCCTACAAGACTGTAGACACGCCTTGTTGACGAGTGGCCAACAACAACTAAACCTAGATCAGGCAAGGCTTCCTACCGATTGCCTCCAACCATCTAACAATAATTCAAAGTGAACCGTGATGACGTTCCACTTGCTGGTATGGTGGCCACATTACAAACTTGACTTCGGTAGAATTCAGTCCGCAACAGACGAAGGACTAAACGCATGAAATTAGTTTCTACCTAGTGTTCAATCAAGAAACTACAGTCCACTGAAATTCAGTGACTGCTGCAGATAAATGAGCATAATTTCTGGATCCTTTCTATCAAACAGAATTCATCAGTTATAAACAGATGTCTGTATCAGACTTCGTTGTGACACATAGTTTATCAGAACTTTCAATACAGAGGCGTCATTTTGTCTAACTTGGAGGTTAACCCTTCAACGTATATTGGTGAATATTCTTGTAGGTTTGCACACTTATGACCTTACTTTTTTTCGGAATAAAACCGAAATATTTCACATCAATACTTTCTTGAAAATGCACCTACTTGATGTTTAATATATGAAAAGAAGTTACAATCAGTCACCTCCCAACTAGTTTCGTTTGCATCTTGTGTACTGCTCAAACTTAGTAGGCACCTTTCACACCAATTAGTATTAATAAGAATATTCCAAAGTAGTCACTTGGCTCTGCTTAGTTGATAAATTATCTTAGATCCAGCTGAGTAGCTTACATAAACGTGTGACGTGTTTCACATGAATTTGTGCATCGTTTTTGTGCGTCGGTGGTTCAGTGGCAGAATGCTCACTGACCACGCACATGATCTGGATTCGACTACTGGTCAGCGCGCTCCTAAGACATCGCTTAGCTGGTGAATACCCTTGAAAAAAGGGAAGGCTCGGTGTACAGCTAACAATCCCACCCAGTAGGAAAATAACACCACCCCGACTGAAACTTCAAAGTTCTCCACTGGGCATACAAAGGAATGAAAGAAAATGCGTCATTAATTTATTCTTTCTAATGAATCTACCTTTTATAAACGAAGGGTTTACTGGACCAGAATGCTTGGTCTCTGTCGACAGATCGAAATGTCCCTACTTGGACCTAGTTCAGCAAAAATCAATCGATGGAAAATGCAAGACTAAAACCAAAAACAAATAATAATCGATATCTGTTGTACAAGAGATAGCACTCATAGTCTATTGAATAATACCTTGGCGTTTGAAACGATAGACACACAATCACTCTCTGGAAATGCAGATACATCTAGTTGATGAATCGCAAATAAGGGCGAAGTGCACATCCTAGATTCTAGTACTTGTCACCGCTAACCAAAAGAAAGGTTTAATTGCTCTCATTCACCCTCTTACAGTCAACAACTGGTATGCCGCATATATTTTACAGAGTCCTTCATAGTATGAAGTACAAGAGTGTAGTATCTAGGTTTTATAAACATGTGTTACTTTATAGTGAAGTTTTCCTCCGTCAGCGCTATCCAGCTAGAAGAATACATCTTGCTTGTTTCACTTTTATGCTTCACATGGTAGAATACATCTCTAAAGTTACCATGACTACCTTTTTATTGTGAATTCGAATCGTTTTACATAGGCAAGCCAAATGAAATAAATAAACACCACAGAGTCTCTTGCACCTCATCACTCAAAATGACAGAATTAAACAATCACTTTGGAAATAGCCAGATATGTTTAAATAACCCATCACTTTTGTGAATATGACTCAACAATTCGACAGTAATAGAAACATTTCTTTTTCTGTTATTTCCATTAAGCCTGACATTCAGTTAATAAACTTGTATTGCTTTCTCGATGTGTGTGTTTTTCACTGTCATAAGCTGAGCTCAAGCTCATTTTATCAATGTAATAGTGATAATAATAATTTCTTTTTCTTTATTCAAATTAAAGCTTAGCTTACAAATCTATCTACCGGACCGGACAAGTCGTTATGTCTCTGTAAATAATACAACAACTGTACTGCAAACTTTACAAAATTTGACTCAATCAAATCAAAAAATTCTTAATATGAGACATGCTTTAGTGGAAAGAATTCCTGTTTTACAAATAGGTAAGTAAATGGCCATTCGCTTTGTTTTAAATGTATTAATTTTCTTGTCGTCTTCAGATTGAAAGTGTTTACTCATGACAAGTACAAATGCAAAAAAATTGGCTTGTATCAGTCCGCATAGATGTTTCCTCATAGTTTTGGGCTCTCCAGAAGGATGCACCCACCGAAGTTTGAACCCAAAGGCCTTCCGGTTAAAATGCTAGCTCGTAGACCTTTTAGCCATTGTGAACGTTTGTTTGAATAGTTCGAAATAAGGACGAAACAGCTACCTTTCAGTACTATCTGGTTTCTCAGTGGTCCTTTGACTGATGTCAACCCCTGCTAAAACCTGTAACTAATCAGATACCTGCGAACTGACACTTGAATCAGTCTGTATGTGAATATGTTACTACAATCGTTTAGAAGTCTTAAACATAGGAAAGATATAATCGGTTTGTCTTCCACATAGAACATTCTGATCAAACCTGAATGACTGTCAGAAAGAAGCACCAGTCACTCGTTAACCATGAATATAAATGCATATCACTTATATTAGTAAACACCGTTAATCAAATTAAAAAACAGAAAGAATTCTGATGTTAATAAAATCCCATAAAGGCGAAAATCTCAAAGATTCAACAAAATAAGAACTGCATAATATGTGCGGTAAAAATTGAATTCATGCCAATGGCTCCATTACTGATATTTCGCATCTCAACTTGAAAGCTTAATGTATAAACGTTAATTAATCAATGCCATCAGACAGGAGATCAGTCAAGATGCCTTTAACTGTAACACGGGTTAGATTCGGAGGTAGTTAGGACTTCCCACGTAGTATTATCTGTGTTTTAGAGGGGACCCTGAATGAGCAAAAGAAAATATATTTGTATTGCCAATTATTACCTACGTATTCGAATATTGGTTTGTGGGAATCCCATCGATTTCTAGACTGATCACAAGCTGAATTCATTTAGACAACTACAGAGTACTGGACAGGTGTTTCATCCTTATTTAGGACTCTTCACAGTACGCACCCATGACACCACTAAGGATAAGCTTAAATGATTTCGTGATCAAATTCCAAATCAACCAATTCAAATAGATTAGTGTTTACTAATGACTGACTACACAGTGAAGTTGGCCGAAGTGAGAATTCTTGACCTGTAGGGTTCACCAAGTTGGGTGTGGGGAGAAACGGTCACCGACGACAATCAGTGGTGATCGTGCAGTGAGACATCAATTGATAAGAGTTTGAAATTCATGGAGTATTGGATTCCATCCAAGTTGCTGAATATATACACAAAATGTAAATGGGCTTGTACGGCTAAGTGAATAAATTCGCCGAAAAGAGACTCTTCGCGCATTTTTTTCGTTCTTGTATTAATGTAAAATTCATTTCTCATCATGAGTAAATTGTCATTGTCTAAATTTGATCTAACACTCTAAAGAAGTTATATGCTGTGGCAGATTGGTCTTTTATTCGTCCTTGTTGATATGACTGAGTAGATTAATATTATAGTATAACGAGAGAGTAAATCTCCACTTTACCCTTTTTCCCAAAGTCGTCTTTAGCTCGCTACGCAATTATCTATAATCTCTTATCTCCTCTCCACCTTGATCTCCTCCATACCATCATCAGCTTTTCTAAGTTTTCTGTAATGAATCAGTTGACATGTGACACTGTCATATAGCTGTTGAATGAGGTTGATAAAGATTTGGAGTACTACACTCCGTAGTGTTGAGATACTTTCGCAGTTACTTCGTGGTCAACGCCACTGAAGGCTTTTTCAAAGTTGACAAAATTGAGACAAGCCATTCTATGCTTTATTCAATAGTGATTAGCAGAATTGTAATTTATATCTTTCGCTAAATTCAGTTTGTTCCAGGTGGAGTTCTGTATTCAGAGCATTTTTTAGCCTCTCCAGGATAATGTGACTTGATCACAAACTGACTTCAGTTAGAGAACCAGGAAATCTCGGACAACTGTTTCTTTTTATTTTGAGACTATGCAGAAGTAAGCACACCTATGACCCAACCATGGATGTGTTATAACTCTGTTGCCAATTTGTTATAACTGAATTGATCTGAATAGACGTGTTGCTACTTTGTTATGTCTGCGCCTGTTAATTACCATAACGGTAATGAACTCGACTGATACGCTAATACGTCTATTTGTCCGTTGTACCTTCCGATTTACTGAGCCACGCGAATATCAAAAGGTGAAGACTGGCCTGTGACCGTAAGATATTGTATTGTATGTTATACTACATTACATAGTTTAAGAAAGAACACATGATATTTATACATTTTATTAACCATAATAAAGTCGGCTCACAACCGTCAGAATGTATTGTTCTTATTGGCTAGAAATGTCTATTCTCATAGGCTGGCAATTCGACAAAGACCAAGGTAAGACAAAAGATGATGAATTGATCTTACACACTAAATCACAATATGCGTGAGAAATGATACATCCACATAGTAACTCAATCACTAGATAAATCACACGATTTGTGAGAAAGGATGATATACTATTTTATGCTTCGTCCTATCAGGATGAAACTTGGAACCTTCCAGTTATGAGGTAAGCTCGTAGACCATTCAGTCATTGCTATGAAATTCAGTGATCCATGAATACTGACCCCTGTCAGTTCGCGATTTTTAGTGCCACTAATATCAATCCGTAATCAAACCAATCAGATCTCGAAAACTATTCTTTATATTCTGTGTAATGTTTAATGGTGCACCTGCACACTATTGGTGAACGGTATAATAGACACACTCTATATCCACCGAGCAGATTCGGATTTTCAATACAAACGTCAAGTCAGTTCTTCTATATGGATCAAAAACTTGGCGGCGGGTCACAAAGAATATTTCCAACAGCCCGTTGCAGACCTTTATCAACAGCTGTCTTCGTCCTATACTCAAGATCAGATGGCCGGAAAGAATCACCAAAAAGAAACTATGGGAACAAACAAAACACAACCCAATCGCTTAACAAATATGCAGGAGAAAGTGAAAATGGATTGGACACTCGCTGAGGAGGCCGCTGGGTGACATCGCGCGTCAGGCCATAGCTCGAGTGGAACCCGAAAGGGAAGCGGCGAGTGGGACGTCTAAGGGTGACATGGAGGAGATCGTGTGAAGGAGAGTTGAAACAGCATGGACTAACATGGATGCAAGTGAAAAGTACAGCAGAAGACAGAAGCAAGTGGAGACGTGTAGTTGAATCCCTATGTTCCTCTAGGAAACCAGGGGAACAATAATAATGATAATATCCGCCCAGCTGCAAGTCACAGCTTCATTTAAATACGTAAAATTCCACCGAAACTAATAGACTTCAGTAGATATCCGTTAAAGAGTTGTATTAATTAGTCCCTAAAACAAAATAATGAAAATGCATCCGTAGAAAAAACAACATTTCCATTACTACTTTGATCCTTTTACTTGTTTCTGTTTTTTTTTAGAACGTTGTCTTGAAGACGATGAATATCTGTTGGACTATCTACTCGACTGGAAGACAGAAAATGAAAATCTTATCTTCTTTGAAGAACGTCAAGATATGTATGGATTGTTTGAAAGTCCAAAAGTGAGTGTAGCCAAGGCGCGTATATTTCTCTTAGTAATTACCACATACTTTTTTACTGAATCAAATCTGTCATCTGCAAATTTCACAACTCCAGAGGAGAAATCAGTACATTTTAACAAGGAGTGTTTCCAAACTACTTATTTATGTCAAGTAGTAGTATATAGCAGTGCCATTTATTAACGATAATTATGGTGTGCGTAAAATAATAATGATGATTTGTAAGTAGTATAAGCATGTTGTCAAATATCCAGATCGCTGGTATCCTGGACTTATCGCTGGTTTCAGAAGACTAAGCCTAATACGTAGTAAACTATACACTGCAACCGACGCAGGACAAAAGAAAACGATTGGGTAACACGACTATTTATTCTCTAAGCGATAAAATAAATTTACGGTGGTTAATCACTGCTAAAGTCTTTAAATAAACGTTAATATAATATATACAACAATACTTCTGATCATATTTCTCCAATCTTCTGCCAAACAGTAGACAATTAGGCGATGACAGCCTTCTTGTCTCCTGCCAAATGGAGACCAATTCGAACAAATGAACTATTCAGTGTTCACCAACACTGACTCATACCTATCATCAGTCCATCGTGGGAATCGAATTTCACCAGATATACTTGCTGTTTGACAAGTTCTACCCACGCACGTCGGTGGCACAGCGGTAGAGTGCTCACCAACCATGCCTCATGTGGTTCAGGGTTCGATTGCCGGCTGGCGCATTCTTTTGCCTCTCTAAGCCAGTAATAAGACTGGTAAAGAGGTTAGGTTGGGCATGAGGCTAGCAACCCCATCCTGTAAACATAAACACCAATGTTACAAAAACTTCAAGCCTCTAGCTTGAAGCCCTATATTCCACTGGAAAAGTGAAGTGGTAAAAACAACCAATGGAAAACAAACTGAGTCGACAATAAAATAAAGAAAATTAATCACACTGTCTCATTGTCATTATTATGCATGTATATATGATATGATTTCTCTGACAGTAGCAAGAAGTAGAATCCGGGAAGCATCTCTCATCTATTTGAGACTGATTAGCTCGATGTACTTGGATCTCCAGTGAGTGATGCTATTCTCAATGACATTCGAACCCAGCAGTCATATCGTTATCTACTAGGCTACTAGGCGATAAGTTGACCTAATGGCATAGTTGAATTCTCCGTACATGACAACAGAGACATAGTGTATCGAGTGCTACTGATAAGATGTATCAGTAGTGTGTATAAAGAGACGTTCATCGGCATAAAAACATCAAATAGCAGGGAGATACATTTGATTTGAGTAAAGGCAAAGGATACAGAGTTATGGAGATACTTGGGAGACGTCAAAGGAACATAAAGAAACACAACATGAAGTCCAGAAGTACCACAACACGAAGCATGCAGGTGAAAAACAGAAAAATGGACTTAAATACATCAATTCATCAATACTCCCTTACCTCGCTAAGCCAGAAATAATGCTGGTGAAGAGGAAAGGTTGGGCATGAGGCTAGCAACCCCATCCTGTAAAATAAACACTGCTACAGAAACTTCAAGCCACTAGCTTGAAGCCCTATGTTCCACTGGGGAACGTGAAGGATAAAAAAAATAGAAAAACAAGGATCTGTTTCACAAAATAGAAAAATAAACTATGTGATTTTTAGAACCATTTACAGGATTAAGCCAACTCAGAACTCCACTTAAATTTACTGCTACTTTAATACTTGTTGTAAGTGTTACAAAAGTAATCAGTAGTACCGAAACAGCTACCATTGTTGTTATTATTATTATTATTGTTAATTATAACTAAATTATAAACTAATCAATTTGTGGGTTAGATTATGCAACTAGAATTTCAGAGAATTTCACTAATGAGCATCCCGAGACCAATTCACCATCATAATTCAGTTTCGAAGAAAGTCATTGATATCCCTAGTGGCCTAGGGTTAGTTGTATACTGTTTACGACTTGGAGTTCAGTTAGTCGAACCTCAGGTTTCAGAGGTATCATGTGTGCATCGTGAGAATACTGGACGTAACGTTGAAGTGCGGGGGGGACTGCAGTCTTAATGAGAACACTGTCAAATACTGGAATCCAGGTACATCCAACTACCGTGTTACAGATAAAACAAAACTCCAATTACCGATTCCACTGCTAGTCAGCATCAAAGAAAAGAACAAAGGCGGATGAAATTCAGGTATTTCTAAAATCCAAGATTACATGAAGTGTTTCAGTACTGGTACATTCACCCCGGAATGAATTTTCATTTTAAAAAATACTTTATTTTAGCAGTACACACCGACCGAGTTTTGAACCCAGGACCTCCCGTTAACAATACAAGCCTATGAACCATTCAGCCACTGTGATCCGATTCAATGACCAACCCATGAATTCGTACTTCTACCAATCCATGATTTTAGCACGATCACCGGCCACTGTCATCAGCGAAAAATTAGTCCTCACTCTCGACCTGGTGGACTCCACTAGTCCTTACAGACTATCTCAAGAAAATTAATCTGATGCTCACTAGTAACTGGATACAGAACAAAACTGCCTGGAATTCTTATGAAAAGTCGTGACCAGTAGACACCACCAGGTCAGAAATGAAGATATATACTCGCCGATGACAATGGCTGGTGTTTGCGCTAAACTCACGAATTGGTAAAAGTCGAAATCAACGGGCCATTGAGTCGGGTCTCATTGGATAAATAGTCTACGAGCTTGCTAGTCTTCGAAACCCAGTGGGTGTATGCTTCTGGAGAGTAGCAAACTGGGACGAAACAGTTTATCCAGTACTCCCTGTTAGTTTCCAGTGGTTCTCTAAATGAAATTAATCCCTGATCAAACAAATTATATCCCTACAAACTAACACATGAAAAAATGACCTTGTTTTAGTAAAGTTGCGAAACTAATGAAAACACTTATTGATCTAACCCACTACATTCTTGCAGACCAATTTTTCAAAATTAAAGGAATTTATTAGCCTAAAATGAAACCAAAAGAAGGTGATAAGGAGAACATCCAGCTAATATTACATGATATTATAATTAGTCATGAGAACTATCCCGCCTATTATTGTTGTTAACACAATAATAAAAAATAGTCACTCAGTCTTCTGACCATTAAACCGTTTTATCTGTTCAGAATCAAGCATAAACAAAATCGATTTTCTTTTTTCTCTATGAGTACTCAATACTATTCATCTCATGATGATATTAATCACACCAAAATAAAACAGCAAAGAGTAATTTTTTTTATTGTAAAACAGAAATGAAAAAAATACAGTAATAAGTGAGCATTGAATATTGAAAAAAAATGCATTCTGGGTGTAACCATAACCTAGAGATCATTAAAACAAGATTAAGGAAATTGAATTTTAGAAAAAAAAATAAAAATTGAGTAATTAATTATTAGAAGAGATAAATAAAAAAATTTTTAAGGTATATATTTTGATAAGAAACAAAAATGCAAAAATAAACAAAACAATTAACCTTTTAGAGTTTTTATTTATCGATTTCATTCAATGTTATATTGAACAGTACGCATAGGCGATTGAAAGGTTATTGAACGGTGAGTGGAATCATCACTAACCACTCACATGGTCTGGGTTAGATTCCCAGTCGATACACACATAAGTCCCGTCTATTTTATTGCCTGGTGGTAAGCCAAGGATTTTCTAAACAGATGTGAAGTCAGTCAGTCAGTTCTTCTGTACGGGTCAGAAACTTGCACTGAGTTTCACCAGAAGGATTCCCACTCCTCTGCCTGCATTACTGAGAATCTAATGGCCAACCAGAAAGAATTGGCAACAAGAAACTTTGGCCGGGAACAAACCAACGGGCAAGAGCCGATTGCTCAACAAATATGTAGGAGGAAATGGAGATGGATCGGGTATACCCCACTGAGTAGGCCGTCGAATGACATCACGAGCAATGCAGGCCATCGCTCGAGTGGCATTCCAGTAAGAAGCGATGAGTGGTAGCATGGAGGAGATCGTGTGACTAGGGAGAGGAGGAGGTGAGAGATTGTGGGCAATCGTGGACCGAACTGAAGAGGACAGCAGAAAATAGAATGAAGTGGATATGCGAATTTGAAGGTCCATGTTCCACTTGGAACCCAAAGTAATAGTAATAAGCCCAGGAAAATACGGGAAGTTTGGAAGGGAGGCCAATAACCCTACCTTGCAAAACAAACATCAACATCATGACTACTAAAACTTCATAGGTTGAATCGTGTAACCCTATTTTCCACTTGGAACTCATAAGAATGAGTTAAAGAACTCAAAGCTGAAGTGAAAGATTGACGAAACAGTGTTTCTTCAACAAAAAGTATCCCCTAAATATGAAAATCAAAAGGTTGAGTCATTCATTCAAAGTATTTTAATGAACTCAATATGAAACAGTTTAGTGTTGGTTTTGAAGCGATTTTATTGGTTTCAGGTTTTGATCATGAACTGAAATCAGTCAAAGAACCATTAGAAAAGATGGAGTATTTGAGCACTGTTTTATCCTGGTTTTGGGACTCTTTGGCAGCATTCACCCACCAGAGTTTGAGCACAGAACCATCCGGTTAAGAAGGCGATCTAGTAAGTTATTCAGCCAATGGGATCCGACCCAATCCATTAGCTCATGAATTCCAATTTCTGCCAATTCGCGATATTTAGCTCAACTGCAGCCTTTGAAACACAATGATGAACACTACCATTATCAGCCTACCCAAATTGCTATACTTTACAACTTAGTGTCTAGTAAAAGAAAATGTAATCCAAGTTAGTGTATGAAACTAAAGTCATCAGAAGTCATTAAAAAACAAGAAACAACAAGAAAAAAGAAAGGAATTGTGTTAATGTACAACTGGAACTAACTGGATTTAAGTCTGCTTCTAAATTGTGGAAAACATCCATCAGTAAACTAGAGAGAAAAGAACAAGAAACTCCGTTAAGGCATCTTTTCAACGATTCCATCCTTTTAGTTTACATAGTTACAATTATTATTTCAACCAACACAGTCACAAAGA